CCACAAATAGAGGCTGACTATAAATTCTTTTGTATTTAAAAAAAGTTGGGCTTATGTGACAAACTAGGTTAAATTGGCTAATCTGGGTCAGAAGTTATTATTGCATAACACACTGGATCAAACTGGTCACCCACATTTCATCTTAGCATGCTTGAAAAACTTCCTTGTCTGTTTAGGTTAATTTTTTGTGAACCCCAAAAATTGGATAGGTGTCAGGTCCACCATCGTTGGCTTGGCGCCTCACTGGCATCCTGCCATCAAAGGCCAGGAGGGAGGGGGTAAGGACAAATGGGCAATAATCATGTATGGGGATGTGATGGGAATTAGGGAGGGGGAATGACAGGTTGAGGAAGATCAGGGAAGCATATGTCAGGATTTCTTAAAATACCTGTGTGTCTCTTTGTAGTCTAAAGATGAACTGGCCATTAGGGGAGAGCTGGGACAAGTGGAAAAAATTGTAACTTTTCACATGGAAAATGTAGTTCTAGCCTGACTTTACTGCAGTCAGCAATCTTAAGTAAAAGACTTTATCACACAAATGGAGTCGAGCGTCTTTCTTTCCCAAGGGACCTGTTTGGGGCAGGTCTAGCAATATGTTTGGTCTGGTGGTTAAGGCATCAGGCCAGAAAGCATGAGACAATTAATTCAAGTCCCTCTTTAGTTATGAAAGCCAGCTCAGTGACCCTGGGCCAGTCACTCTCTCTCAGCCCAACTCACTTCACAGGGTTGTTGTTCTGGGGAAAATAGGAGGAGGAACGTATGTCAGATATGTTTTACATCTTGGGTTATTTGTAAAAATAATAAACGGTGGGATCTAAATAAATAAATATCATTTATTAACTAAATCACAGTTAAACATGTTATCTGAATGCAACCTGATGTCATTTGTGTATGCTTGATCTATTGTGTTTTGAACCCAGCCGATTAGGCTGGTTTAGTAAACCATTAGTCAGTTAAACATGTTGTGTGAAAACAACTGAAGATCTTCGCATTGCATAGTGATTCCCTCTTGCCTTGTCTGCTAAATGATGACCAGTCTTTGGCTCAAGGCAAGCTTTTTTTTATTGTTGTTGCAAAGATAGAAAAAATATTTCAATGCTATTTTACTGCTGGGTTCTGAGAATGACAGCAAGTGCTTCATGGATGGCCTGTTCTCTGCAGAACAGATCTGCAGTTATTTTTTGAACAGTATTACTTTTGGCAGTTTATTGTTGATGAACCATATCAATTTGCTGCTGATATACAATGGAAAGAAGCTTAGAGCTGGTTTATGTAAAACACTGATCTGGAGCTCTGAATGCATTCGAAAGCAGTGTCAAGAATCATTCTTCCTGTCACTACTCAGGTGGAAACAATTGGATTTCTGTCCTGAGAAATCAAATGGCTTTTTAAAGTGCAGATGAACCATCTGGAATCAAAGTTCCCCTTATTGCTCATTCAGGCCTTTTTAACCTGAAAAATGTACAGCTATTGATTGAACTTTCTGCAAAAAAAAAAAAAGTCTAGGACTTTCTGTTTCCAGGTTATGAAAATAAGATATAAAAGCCAGTGAAAGTTTCAGTTTTGAATCAATATAGATGAGCAGGCTATTTGGATGATAACTCTCTTGAATGCTTTTGCCCAGCAAGCAGCCTTCAGCACTACCGTTGCCTCTAATCCTGGAAACAACATTTTAACTCCCAAATATCTGTCTAATTTGTGTAGTG